CGGAGAGTCACTGCAATCAGCTGAATGATAAAAAAGAAAAGTTGCTGAAACGTTTTTATACTTTCTGCGATGTGCCATCTAAATGCTATTGCAAATGACCACAAACTCCATCTTTTTGTTGATTTACAAGAAAAGCTTATGTCTTGTTCTTCATTATGATGTATAAATATTAGTTAATGGCGTTAACAATTCAGATAAAACAAAAAATATTTCACTTTTGAAACAAGTCTGATCAGCTTTTGAAATTCATTCTTATCATGTTAGAAGCATCAAGAAGCATGCTATTCCGCTGAAATAGTTTATTTAGTAACACCACAAGGGAAAGATTGTTTACAAGTGCAGCGAAATTTCTGAAGGTAATTGTTAACGGTAATACCTCTGAGTAATGCAACATAAACAAGTTTTGTTTATTCGGGTCGTTAGTTATGAGTGTGACTATTTTGAGGTATATAATTCTTTAAAAATCCTTGTGGATGTTGGCGGCATTCAGCATAAAAGAGATTTATAGACGTTTCTTTATCGAACTGCAATAGTTTTGTAATACTTTTAGAAACGCAAGCCAGGTGGATTTTGACGGTGAGAGATTTAACATTAACATGAATAAATAATTTTTAGAAATTCTAATTGTGTCAGAGCATTGAAGCATTAGAGATCTTTATCATCGCGAAGTCAAAACAAGACGCTTGCTTGGCCATAGAAACTAAAATTCATTTACTCTAGCTACCGTCAACATACAATTACATGCAAATGAACTTGTTTTGTCGGAGGGACATGTGCATGTTCACGATCCCTAGAAATGTAAATTAGTATTTTTTACAGCAAGTGTCCCAGAAACATCTTGAATTTGTCGCGGAATATTTGCGTAACTTTACGCAAAACTTGGATATTCACTCGGGTTCCAAAGTGCGCTGATTTTTCAGACACAACTTTTCTATATTTCTTCTTTAATTAATGGTAATCCCTTTCAATTAAATGTTGCCTTCTTTAGATTATTACCAGGTGAAGGAAGAACAGGGAGCTATTTTTAGCGAATCTGTAATCATGCTCATGGGTAGGTATATATATGCTAGCTGTATACTAGCTTTGGAATCGTGCTTCCACAACATTCTATGCACGTACACCTGCCTTTCACTTTTCAATCAATTCCTAAATTACTGCCTTTGTTTTCACTGTAAGAGATTTTCTTTTAACGTTTTACTCCATGCATGGTTGAATGCTGAAGAAATAGTGCTTTCAAAAATGTAAATGTCAGTTACTAACAAAATAGCCGACGACTATCACTTGGACACTCATTTGTGTAGAAGAAGGAAGCGAAATTAACTACCTTAACAGATACCTTGAAAAACCTACAACATAAGTAAAGAGAGTGAGGGGATGCAGGGAGATTACAGTATTAGTTTACAACCTTGGGAACAATAGTTTAAAGAGAATCAGTAGCTATTTGTACCCGTTAATATACGAAAGCCTTTCTGAAATGGCATTTTTGGGGAGTTTTGTGCCTATGCTTAGGTTAGGTAGACGCCTTGCCAAAATGCCGGATCTACATTCTGTATAACGCATGGAATGTTGTGAGAACGTCTAATTTTTGGTCTGAAGCTGAACATTTTAAATTTTTGCCAATTTGAGCCTAAGTTACACCATTTGCGTTTAAGGTTTTAGTAGTTTTGCTATAACACAATTCACTAATCCTGAATAAGAATAATACGGACAACCATACAAAATAACAATATAATTTGAAAATCACTTTGGATGCGCTAAAATTGTGTGACCTAATAGAATGTGTGTTTTTTTAAAGGCGTTTCAATATGTTCAAGCTGAACCGGTTCGGTCGGCCATTTGAGAGAACCCTGTAGGCAAGAAGAGCCAAAAGAGATACTCTATGGTTTTGGGTTTTCTATAAATATATATTATAAAAACACCTTAAACTTGTTCACAACCCATTTAGATGAGGGCCACCCGGACTGAGAGACAATTTTATTTCTCCGTTCGCTCGTTAGACCATTGATTTTGGATTGAGGAGATATAGCAAAACACAGCTGAATGTCTGACATTAAAAATGATCTATTCAAATCGTATTTTCGACTTTTCTTTTGATGTTTGGAAATGCTACAAAATACACCACGTTGTCTGATATGCTAATTCAAGTGAAGTTTCATAAATTATTTAAGCTTCAAAGTCGTAACAAAGACTAACCCACTAAGCACTTATCAAGAATAGTGCGCCATTGTTATCGTAATGATTTTAATATTTTAATAAATTGTGGTTGTAAACAACTATAAAATTTTAGTAAATTATCGTTGTTATTTTAATAAATTATCGTTATAATTTTCAAAAGATTATAAGTGTAATTTTTGTCTTTTAGGTCGGTTCAATTCCGGGGTAGTTTAACACAATTTGATGTATTGCTTAACACGGGTATGTATCAGTCCTCTTACAGCATAAATAATTAACTGAAATATAGTATCCTTTGACAGAAAGAAACTCTTCACGTGATCATGAGCCACGCACGTATTTTTAAGTATTCGGTAACCTGAGTATCAGGCCTTCCTAAGGGGAGAGGTGAGGGGTAGGGGGGTGGGGATGAGGAAGAGAAGCGATCTGCGCCAAAGGTCAAACCCATGGCCAAGTACTTGGCAAAGATTTTATTTTGTAGTCTCACAGAACAGCGGTGTTTGAAGAAGCCATAGACGCTATCATTCTTTGAACTATGCCCAAGACCTGATATGATTTTGATTGTTTACTTTTTGCGAAGACGCATGTCATGCTGTTACGGGGCGGAAGCCCTCAAATTTAAAATATCCTTGTGTCACGTTTTTCTTCCTTTTTCTTTTCCTCCCCCTTCCCCTTACTTTGGAAAAGTTGTTGGGATATGCAGAATGGTTATAGGGAAATTAGATTCTGAGCTATTTCCCACCCACTGGAAAAGTTGAAAATTTACAGAGTATGTAAATATCATGTAATTACAGGGGCAGATCCAGGAATTTCTGAAAGGGGGGGTTGTACACTATTGTAGTAACCTTTAACGCCAATGGTGTGGAAGG